TGGACGTATACTGGTGAAACGCACGTAGTATGTCACATTGCCGCGCGCAGGACATCTGAATGGGGCATTTGCTCTCTCAATCCTGTACAGGTGTGTATGCCAATTTTCTACCTTCCCAGACAAATCTAGTACCAGTGAGTCACCCTTGTGGGATAGAAGACTTAGCTGGTTCGGATGAGGGCCGATCTGGGATCGCGGGCGTGGTGAACGGACCACTTGCCACTGCACCACTTCCGCCCCGGTTATGAACATCGAAAATACTGTGTTATCAATTGAACATCTTACCAATGGTTCCGCGCTCTATCCTGGTTCGGAATCGGTCCAGTTGGAGCACAAGTTCGTGGGTCTGAAGGTCTTTCACACTGAAAACATTCGAGACAATTTGCACTTAGTGGTAGATGTCACACACCGCTTGCAAGCAATAGCTCTCAAAGTTCAAAGTTTTCTAATCGTTTTGTAGCTGTGGAACCCCTTCAGAATACTTGACACTGGAACCCCGTGTCCCTTCCGCAAAGATTCAGTAAACGACTTTTTTAATGCGTTCCTGCCTTTTCCACCGTCTTCAAGAGAAAGGGCGCCAATAACGCCGTTCCCCAGCTGTGCGCATCCGGCGATCCCGGATGGCGTCTTCAAATCGCATTTCACGCTGGCCAAATGGGTGGAGCCAGATATGCCGTGGTGCTGCTTTCATTATTAGTGCGTTCTTCCTTTCATATTTGAGAAGGAACATCGCACCACTGAGGAAGGCGCAAGGGTGAGGCCCGGTTCCTCCTATACGACCATCGTGAAACAACTGAATAGTCCCTGAGCTCTGTGTCTTTAAAGGCAGTTGGCACGATAAATCCCCCAAGACGAGTAGGATTAATACGCCTGGCAGGACGGAATTCCGCGACCCTGAGCAGGCGCTGCATAATGCCTTTTCCAAGGAAGGTGCCCTTATAAGGGCCCTATCAAGCCACAACATTCCGACCCAAACGCCCGCCCGCCCACAAATGGACGACCGTTCCTGACGCTCTAATCGATTCATTTGCTAAGCAAATTATGAAGCGAAGGGATTGGTATGAAGGTTTGCATGGATATATGAGTACACATATGCAGCCGTACCTTCGGTAGCGGTTATTGGCAAGATGCCTACGGGAAACTCGTCCAAAATTGATTTTGACACATTGAGAACGGAGGCTCTTTCTTCGCAGGATTTTGACCGTTTCACTCCGTTCTTTCGCCATTTTCCCCACTATATAGCGCCTTACTCCGCGCGATGTGGCCTCCACAACAATCATGCGTGCCAACTGCCTTTAAACTGAGTTCACGCTCTTATATGAAATTTACTTCTTCTTTCATACACAAAGCTTTACCTGTGTTTTGAAACAAGCTGGAATCTATTGTTTGCTTTGGCTGCTTCGGCATTGAAATCGGAATCCTGAAATAGATAGAGATCAAGTAGTTCTCTGCTGTATGGCCGGAAGCCTGGAAACTTATGACGACTTTCTGAGAACTGAACGAGGTATGCTTATGGTATGGAACCTGAATTACCCAATAAAAACTGGTTAAACTGAAACTGACGTCAGGATGATGGCCCCACGGAGGCAGAAAAACTGCCCGTACCTTGTTTGGGAGCTTAGGAGAATTACCGAGCGCTTTCCTAATGAATCAGATATTGGACTTGTCTGAAGGCACGTTCCACCAAAATCGTGTATTTGGAGTTGCAGAAGTTGGTCTTTGGCCACTCCCGAAATGGTGCGCTCCTTTCTTCGCCTTTTAAGAAAGAAGGGCTTAGCAGAAAGGCACAGCTATTCAACGGAAATCACCTATATGACCTCCGTGGCAAGTTTAGAAGTTTTTAAAATGTTTGTTAGTTCCTGGCCACCCGGAACATCGACCCGCTGCTGCAGAACAAAATATGAAAGAAGGTAAAAAACATGCAATTGTATAAAAGAAAAAAATGATCTAAGGAACTAACCACTGCAGTGCTACGTCGAACGAATGTGGCAACCGTTCGAATCATACCAGTCACTGCAACAGCCATTAGTAGAAGGTTCCATAACAAAAAGAAGGAAATCTTACCTCCTTTAGAACCTTTCTGATAGGACTGTTGGCTGCACTGACTGATATTACACTGTGCACTAAAAAACCCATCTTACAAAAAACAGCAGAAGATCAGTGGTTAATACTTAGTACTGCTGTGCCTTTCGAAGTTTTTAGGTGAAACCGTTTCTAGTTGAGCGCTACTTTCAAGCACTGTAAAATAATTTGGAAATCGATTATTGATTGTTACTCACTAGGGATTAGTATTGATGCCGTTCTCGTCAGCGTCGAGAAGACTTCCAGATTCGTTTCGTTTCAGGCATTCGGTTAGATCGAATCCGATCTGAGAATTGCGGAAAATGGCCACCCCCACGTTCTTCTCGAATGCATTTCTGAAAGGAAAACATGTGGAGCTACCATGAAGTACTGTTCAGCGCAATTCAAACCACGTTTCACTAACAGAATAATCTCGTAGAATCCGATGATTGATTGCAAGTTGGCTGCTCCTCCCTTCTCCCACATAGTTTTGAAGCCTACCATCAAGAATATTTCGGACGCATCTTGCCAATACCTGACGTCTATAAATGAATGAGACCAGAATTTGAAGACGCTGAATAGTGCTGAGATACCTGTAGCAATGTTGCAGCTCCCTCCGCTTGGTTCTCATTTGCCACAGTTGCCGGGAAAGCGGAAACTTCACGAGTCTCCAACCACTCGGACATCTGTCGGTCTACTTTTTCTGTCATGATGTATGTGCGACTGCTCACGGGCTGCTGAAACATGAAAACGGTTGAAATGGAAGGGGGAGGAGGCGCCAGAGAAGTCCATGGTTGGAGTGACTGCGTTAGGCTTGGTCCCTTATGCGCGACAAAATTGCGCTGAATGGAAAACGAGGCATCGGGCTTAGGCTACCGCAGCCAGGTTACGATATCAGCACCATTTTAGTTGGGTTTTTCATTTGCAGATAAAAGTCCTGATACTGCGTAAGTTCAGTTATGTATGATGCCTGGTTTATGAACTAGCAAAGGGTTCGATTTTCCCTCGGCCACTGGGTACCATAAATGGACAACGCAGCAGCGCGCGGCAGTCTCTGCATTACCTAACAGACCTTGAGAAATCTGTTTGATTGCTTTATGTTGAACTAATTGCTCATAAGTACTGTCCTGACATACCGGAATGACGAAACCGCAGATAAGCAATGAGCGGCCCATGATAATGTTGTTGGCGAAGTCGACGAGAGCTGGTCGAGCGGCAGGATTTCCAGTGAGAAGCAGCATCTTAAATGAATGATCTGGTCGTAAGGAGACTGGAGAACCCATACAAATGATAACATTTTCGCAATAGGGTGCGCTATTGAAGAACTATACAATGCATAATGCATATCCGGCGATGGGGAGGGCGTGACTGGAGATTTCATTTGAACATGACGTGGGGCGCTTATCTTATGAGATGTTTCCAAATTAGACAACTGTCAACTGTCTCAGCAAAAGAATCCCACAGAACGCAACCCCCTCTTAGCTGAAATGAGGTATGAAGCCACGCCCTCCGCGTGTTCGGGATATAGAGTGTACGGCTAACAGATGGATGAGCGCAGGGCCTGCACAAGGACTAATGAAGGCTAGCTAGTTGACAGCATAAGCATCAGCTAATTACCGCAAGCCATCGTGCAGGTGCAGTGCGCAATCAAATGCTACCGCCGTCAAGAGGTGGAGTCGAAGGAGGGGCATATCCCAAAATGAGATCTATTGAAAATTACTTTTTCATCGAACGCTTTTGATCAAACCTGAGGCTTATAACTGAGATCCGCTTCCCGTTCCATGTTACGGAGCCCACTCAAGGTGTTGCCGTAGGAGGATCCAGCCAGCTTCTGGCCAGCCTTCACTTCTGCAAAGAATACAACTAGCCTGCTAAGTCATAAATCGTACTGCTCTAAGTAGCCAAAAAATAGAGGAATGAGAACAGAAGAAAGAGTAAAAGTACAAAGTTAATAACTGACGTGATTGTTTCCATTTTATGTAGATGTAAAATTTGAGGAATGTTAAAATGGCCGCATTGGTAATCTTCCAACTAACGGCGAGCATAATGTGGACACAGAGCAGTGAGCAGAACAAGGACAGCCATCGGTTGAACCATCGATACATTGGTTTTTCGGCTGAAAAGAACACTTAAGACGGCAGAGAATGACAGCCGCGATTCGAAGCACATTCCACTCTCACCGCGGGACGCTTCGCGATGTTGCGCGTCGACGCGCTGCAACGCGCTATAACGCGCTTAAGTTGCAAGAAGGCTACAATTCCACAGTACCTCAGGCCACTATTTACATGCTTTTCTTCAATATTTCATTTTTTCCCACTTCTACTTCATCTTAAGCTCATCATTGTGGCTTCGACGTTCAATCTCAAAGCAGTTATTGCTACTGAATACGTTGATAATGATATTGTTTTTGGAGTACTGTAGAGTCTTCTGCTGGTACCGTGTGTTGTTAGTAGATACTGTTTTTGGCGTCCTGCGGGCGCACAGCATGGAGCCAAACGTATGGTCTTCAGCAGATATCGTAGCACGAAAATATTGGCCTCACAATATATGGCAACCAGCGAGAGTGGGCAGCACCTGGAGTGAGAGACCAGTCTGTCTCTCACTTTAGGAGCTACCCACTAAATTATCAAGGGTTATACAAAAGAAGTCATAATTTTAACTCACACTTAAGGGTTGCCATGAAGACAGCGTAGTTGAGAAGGCAAAACGTGGTCAAGTAATAGATGGTCATTATACTTGCGAGGATGTTGAACTCTCCTAAATTCACCCAACCATTGCAAATGCCAATTAGTTAATCTTAAGAGCCAAAGCAAACCCAAAAAATGTTTTTGCTATAAAAAGTAGAGATCAAACCCACCAATCATTGATAAGATAATACCAGCAATGGTGATAACCACGAAAGCAATTCGTGGACTATTTCCTTTACCGTATCCTTTGCCCATTTTGTCCCATCCAGGCACAAGACCTTTGCTTTTTCCAACATCCTAGGAATCAGCAATCGCTATTTATCAGACTTTTGTTCAATATTAGTCGCTACTTCTACTGCGAATTTCTTTAGCTTTGCATGCCACTAATGTATGTGTAGTGTTGTGCCTACGAGTGATTTACAACATAGAATAGGAAATTTTGAAGCTCTATCAGAAGTCAGTCTTTCCTCACCGTATTACTGCTATGATGAATGAGGTCGAGAAACTGAAATGAACAAGCAAAGCTATTGAAAATAGATTCCGAGCCCCATCAGCAATCATTCATGATTGCACCAGCGAAGGAGTTAGGTTCCGAGTCGAGGATTTTATCCAGGGCAACGAGTAGGAAGGGGATGTACAGGGGGGGGGGCAAAAAAAGGACACTTCGACCGAGTCACATATCAAAGTTTTCGCAGCCCAGACAGAGGACGTGGATGAGTACCAGGGCGGAAGATACCCAAGATGTTCCTCTATAAGCAGGAGCTGGCTCTCGCCCATCACCTTCCTTCATGTACACCAAAATATGAAGTCATCTCCAGTCGCAGCCTGGAGAAGACCTTTGGAATTCACGTCACCTCCAAACAGCTGCGAAACTTCTATCAAGCTACGCATGGACAGCTACCTGTGGAACGGCACTTTTGGTCTGGAAGACCTCTAACATTTCGCAGCAGACCCGACAACGTCGACTACGGTCATATGACATCATCTCAACCTGCAGTCGTCAAGGAGCGGGTCTTGATTGCTATGGACCGGACGTACCTAGAAATGTAAAGACCGCGTTAAGTGTGTGACCCCGGACTGAAGGTTGACGCGCTGGGCGCTACATCGAGCATCGAGAAGAATCCTCTCCACATGTCGATCTTCTTGAAAACTTTGTACTGCTACATTATTTGGTGACACCACATGGAATCAAAGGGCGTTTGGAAAAACTCTCGCCTACTTGGAACGGAAGGGCGTTGAGTAGCTGAAGAAGGTAGAATATCTAAGCAGGTCAACTGAGTTAGCCCCTCATTACCTGGTTGGGCTGAGCTTCATATGGTGACGGTCTACGAATGAACGATCTCGCCTGAACTTAATTTTTACCGATCCGTGCCAGAATCTCTCGGATGGCGCTCGTCCGGAAGGCTGTGACGGAGCATCATGATAGCATTTAATATGCTGTTGAATATGGTGGTAGACGTCCCATTAGAATCTAATAAAGTGTAACTTATAGCGCCTCGAAAGTCAAGAAAGAAAAGTGTCTTTTTTTACCCCTCCCCGCTAGTTAGCGACCGGTGGCGTGAGGGGGACGATGGAGGACGAGGGGAGGGCGGGGAGGGGGGAAGGACCTTCTGCACTCTCTTTAGTTTCTTCTGCTAGTTCCTCTTAGCGTACACACCTTACCCATTCGGAACCTGTGCATTTTAGTCAAATGTAAACGAAACTCCTGTTGCTGCATTGCTTTACAGAAACTTTCGGATCCCCACTAGTAAAATACGCCCCCACTAAGCCAAAGTATGCCGAGCAGTGTAATAGTATTATCCGTAAGTTTTCTCAGTTTACCAGGAGGTCTAGGCGGTTATGTACTTTTTCAAGCCACTGAAAACGCGCTCACCTGCACTGATTGCGCTGCAGTGAGAAATGCCGTGTAGGCACAGTAGAAACACGACAATAGCACGATAAGAGTAACCGGAAGAGATTTCAACACAGCCTAAACAATTTCAAATTCTGTTCAATTATTTAAGGAGCTCGGCGCTTAAGGAGGAGTGGTCTTACTATTAGATAGGTTAAACTGCGATACTGGGTGATGCTCTATGAAGAGCGCACGCCACAACTTGTAATAATTATCGAAATCAGTTATTATTATTATTATTATTTCGTCCTCGATAACTCCACTGCTAGTCACCAGAGAAGAACACTTTCTCACTGACCCTTGGTGAAGACTAGCATAACAAATCGTATTAGGTTGTCCCAACAGTTCGTGAAACTTTCGAACATTTTTTTCGAGTCAAGTTTATTCCAGTGAGAAAAGCAATTCGATCATTACTACTATTATATACATCCGCTAAGATTTGTCTGTTGTGTGTGTGTGTGGTGTGTGTTGGTGTATGTATGTGTGTTTGACCGGAAATTCATAACTTCCTTCAAAAGAGTGATAGAGCGCTCAAACTGATAAGTCATGTAGGGGGTCGTGCAGGAACACTATTGGTGGGTGGCAGGAACTGATAAGAGCTGATAAGATACCGCGAGCAGCCTTATAAAGGGAGGATCACCAAATTTTATAGCGCGGGCCACAGCAACGATGAGACCTTGGTTCCAGGAAGTGAGGTAGGGGGCAGGATGGGAACATTATTGGTGGGTGGCAGGAATTGATAACAGCTGATAAGATACCATAAGGAGCCTCAGAAAGAGTGGGTTACCTAATTCATAACACCGGCCAGAGCAACGACCGGACGTTGGATACAAGTAGTAAGATAGGGGGCAGGATGGGAATATGCAGGCAGTGCAGGGAAATTGATAAGAGGCGATACAAGATCCTATAAGGTAGTCCTTAAAAGGGTCAGGACACCTAACTCACAGCGTCGACCAGCACAACGGGACGTCGGTTCCAAGAGGAAGATAGTGTGCAGGATGGGACCATTATTGTTTGTGAGCAGCCCGTATGATAAGAGCTGATAAGATAACCCGAAAATTCACAGCAGAGTTGTTGCAACACTGTGGAACTGCTCCAGCAAGTAATTTAGGGGTGCTCAGGGTGGGAGAGAAATGGTGGGAGAGAAATTGTCGGTGTCCGACAACGGCTTTTGGGACTCCGTATATGCTCATATCATCGTGGCCAAATTTCTATTCCTAGCAATATCCCTCAGTTTAGCGGTCGGAATTGCTTCCACCGCTAAACGCTCGATTCACCGGAAAGGCGGAATCGTGTTGGCAGTTAGAATGAATAAGAGCCACTATGATTTCGACTTTTTTTATCATCGAGATTCTTCCCACCGCTATGCTGTCCTATCCTCAACGAATGGTGCTTTAAAAATATGATAGAGGGCACCAAACACTGGCTTCATTAAAATGGAGAAACTTGATGAAATGGGTCGTCCTCGAAACATGGGAATTAGGCTGTGTTAGTGCTCAGGACAAATCCTAATCAGTTATCGTAGTACCATGGGTTTAACCATGCGCGCAGTAGTGCGCGTCAGCCAGACTGGTTACTTGATATGTCACCTTCATTGGCAACTTGTTGCCAACCACCACGCAATGGGTGGTTGCCCTGCTTCCAGAAGCTTCTTGGTTCTGTGCGCAGAAAGGCAGCTGGGTCATTTTTGAGGTACTATCGAAAAACCTATTTTTTTTACCAAGAAAGATGGCCGCTGTGGGATTAGTTTAGATGGCGATCGCAAAGAGCTAAGTTAGGGCTACACGAAGACTGTGGTGGAACTCTCCGCCGTTTTCCCCCAAAATTCATCTTCGCTTTCAGCGCTCACAATTTGCCGCGAAAAACCAACCACGATGACTCCCCGAAGACGGCTAGGCGGACTCTATGAAATTGAAATAATTATTCAATTTCAAGATACAAACTCACCATATCGCGTAGTTTATGGCCTGGTTCGGTGATACGGCTGAGGACTAGATCGTTGACCGCAAGAAAATGTGATTCTAATACTGCAGTCAGCATGTATAACAGGGAGGACACCACCAAGGCCAATGTTGTGCCTTGGAACAAGTTGTCCTGTAATTAAGGTCTTTCACATTTTTGAAGCACTACTCATGTCATTCCGAGATAGGAATAGGAAAATCATAGAAAAAATGAGATGGTTTTTTGAGCAGTCCCAGATTGTGACAATATTCATACAGAGTACCTTTTTGGCAGCCTCAAACTGGAAACATAACGATTCGTCCCATATTATTCCACATTAAAAAATTGAAAATCCAAAGATAAACAGCCTATGAGACGTTGTCTCAGAGAGAGGAGAACTTTCTGCAGGATGTCGTTCGCACACCCTTACCTTAAGACCGGCCGGTCATGTTTCACATTACTTTGAAACCCCCGTAAAGTCACGTAGGAATAAATCAAAAAATAAAAATGGTTATTTATGCAGTTGTAGCAAAACCGAAATGGGTACTTTGTTTGCACTTCTTCATGAGTTATACGTATTAGCAGCCTCGTTCAACTTGAACCTATCAAAAAATTACAAAGTGGAGAACAGTGGGCGTCGCTAAATATCCCTACTTAGGAAACATCCGTGCTCTGCATTCCTTCAGAATCCCAGTGGCGTTGGCAAAACTCAAGTCTGGCTCAGGAAAGACTGCACGCAACCATCGCCGATGCGCTCAAGGGGTTCCGTATGATTTGCTCAACTAAGCCGGAATGAAACACGGTTCGTGACATTCATCCCCTCACCTTCCCCCTCCCTTCCCCCAGACAGCAAAATAATTGGTGGAAAGCAGGGAAATCCTCGGGAAATTCTGGAAAAAGTGGTAGGAGAATGGAAGAAATCTAAGGAATTCTCCCGTTTATTGGCTATTTCCGTGCTATAGCTCCCCCCCCCTCACATCACGATGATGTACCCTGCTCTTGTCACAGTGAACAAGATTGTCATCAGGGCACGTTGAGACCCCTGCGAGGGGGTCGTATTTGGTAGCTGGAGGGAAAGGGGCCGTATTCGCTTTTGTGAAAAGTAATTGCAGTTGTTCATTTTTCCTTTCCTCTCGGTTTTTCTCGACTCACGCTATATACACCCCTGCCTCCCCATCCTTCCCCCTGTCCCCTGTACACTCCCGCTCGACAGTTTCTGAACTATAGCTGAGAAACTGTTGATCCCAGAAAAAACTGGAGATGTGGTAGGAAGTCGGAAGAGTCGAGAGGATGGGCCAGGGGGCAGGGATCATGCCAGAGAGGAGGAACTTTAGGGAGGGTCGTGTTCTGCAAAATTTCCCCCGACAGCAGGATCTGCCCTATTTACATATAGTGCTATAGTGGCCTAAAATCAATAGACAAACGGTCTTTCATATAACTTTTTTCTCACTGCTTATCAAAGAAATGAACAGCTCTCCCATTACTCATGTGATCGACGGCGCTGCTGTTGTGAACAAGGCCATAGAATTAGCGTGACCATACCTTCTTTCGTTTAAAATTGCCACGAATTGTCAATCCAGCAAATATACAAGTTACAGCTGGAAAATAGACAACGAATCCCATTGCTTTCTCATCGTATGGGTTGTAGTCGGAGATTTTGAACGCTGAATGAACAGTTTGGTCACGAACAAAAGTTTGAATACTTCACAGTAGGTGCATTGAATGAGTTGAAGAACAACTATAGGTGCACGCCAGTGAGACTGAAGTGCTATGATAGCTAAATATCCTTCCATGAGCCAAAGTCGAGCAGGGTGTTGCCGTTACCTATGTTAAGCTGTAAAAACAAGTGGCGCCCGAGCCAAAAGCGAGTAGTCGCAGGCAATAGCGCTTCTGGCTAGACGTGAAATGGTCGTGCGGCGTGTTCCGTGTATGTGTGGCATGCTTTGCTTGCAGGCGGGACACAAAAGAATCCCACACACCACAGATATTCAGCTTCACTGCCACGCATTTCCAAGTCAGACGGGTAGCACCGTTCGCAGCTGCGGACTAGCCCACCTTGCTCATCGAGAAAATCATTGCGGATAACTATGTCTTTAAAGTTGAGCTCACTCTGACAGTGAGTCAGCCCTTTCCTTGAACAAATACACGGAATAAAGCTAAAGGATAGAGTCTTCAAGTTGATCATGCCCTTTGAGGATGCGGCACGCTTTCTACTTCAATTTCAGAAGGTGGTTGGCATTTTGAATTGGATGTGGCCTATAGAATGACTTTGCCGGCGGGCCCGCTATTTGGAGATCCGCCTGCTCCTATCCCCCTCCCCTTCGACGGAATCTGGCCGCGCGCGCTACCAACTTACCGTCCTCAGAGTTAAAGGCGAAGGCATTGGTTGACTGGAGGAAGTGGACCCAGTCTGAGCGTTCGCCCTACGCGACGCGAGCATTAGTAAGCTACTACTTGTCCTTTTATACCCTTTCGCGCAAAATAAAAAATATTACAGGAACACATTTATTGATCCAGGAATCTAATTCCCGTTCTGCTAGATCCACTACTACATCCAATCCATCAAAATCAGTGCGACTCCTTTATTTAGGTGGCACCTAGGCAATTGGCACGACAAACCCGTAAGACGAATTAAATGTAATATTAGGTACCTTAAGTTTATGTGGCGGGAAATCTATCACCTTTTTCCAGATTTAGGCCTTTTTATAGAGAGGCGTACAAGATCAAAATTATACAGCAATGTTATTGCGGGGTTCATGCTAATTTTTGAGCACTTCATGGATGCCATCGCTTCACAATGCAGGGAGGCGCGACGCAAAGTTGGCAATGTCTGTGCTACACCAGTGCAAAGGGAGAGCCATCCAACTCTATTGCATGAGGTACGGCTCGGACTTTGGACGGAGCGGGATGCACCATCACGTTGAAGACGGACTGTGCGCGGACGAAACCACCATGGTTATGGTATAGTGCGATGATAAGGAGGAGTTGTGCTTACTTGTGGAATTGATCCGCTTCTCGATTACCAGAGATGGTACCATTAGTCCGACCATTTGCATTAAAATTGCGATCAGTACGAGTAATACCATGACGACACGACAATGAAAATAGTCTGATGATCGGGCGGCGGCAGCCAACAATACGAGCAGACAGAAAACTGAAACCATAGCTATGAATGTGTTCAAGCACCATTTAGTTCAGAATAGTGAGAGCGCGCCTACGTCAACTCCTTGCAGACCAATTAGTTTTTTTTCTTCGAATTGCTTTTTTTTGTTCTCTGTTCTCGATATTTTCTGGTGCTTGTCTCGGGAGCCGAGTCGGTGTTCGACTCAGCGGTAAGAGGGCCACTCGCTGACAAGTCATGTTAAAGATACAGTACACGACATTGGAAAGGTGCTCAGAGAAATCGCTCGAATCTCGATAGCGCAGATATCCGCATTTGAAACTCGGAATATTAGTTCCTTACATGGTCTGTACTGACAGGGTACAGCATCGTTGTGTCAAACCCATGGGGGGTCGTACTTTTGCTCTGGGGAGGGGGGGGGTCGTATTTGTAAGACAAATTTATTTTGATAGTTGATTTCTTGTGGAAAAGGGGGTCGTATTAATTTTTTTATATGCACTATATGCATTTTGTACGCCCGCCCGTGGGATATACGTTGCATAGTTAGTATACCCCCCGCTCGACAACTTTTTCGCCGACTATATACTCATCGCTCGTCGTCGGCGAAAAAGCCGTGGAGGAGGAGGAGGGGGGTCGTGCCTGGACCCCATTCGAAGGGGGGGGTCGTACTCACACCGACATTTCGCACATCCCCATGCTGTACCCTACTGATGTGCCTGCGGAAGTTAAGGTTTGGCAGCAGATAGAGTTAGTGTCCTTAAGAAAAACGTGGCTGTTTGAGCCTTGTTCAAGGGCGTTTTGGCCATCACTCTGTACCCTTGGAGACATCCTCTCACAGATTATGGCGAAAAAAAGCCGCTGATAAAAGAAAACATTTCATGTAGAAGTTAGTGTTCCTTTGTAAATTGCTGAAGGTGCCTAGGTATAAGGCTTCCTCGTTCCCTTCTCTTGGGAAGAACGCGCGATTTGTGTTCCCTTCTACTGCCGATCCACATATCAAACCGCAGTCTATTTATCTATTTACTTCCGATTTACTTGTTGCAACCTCTCGCGATGATCAAGTGTTGTCACTCCTCTTGCGAAAAGAAAAGCGTTCGGCAATCCAGTTCTTCTACCTCCCGTTTCTTCAGTAAATGCTTAGTCACCTCTATTGAAAAGAAGAAAACTTAGGTGTGTCTCTAATTCGAGAATCGCAGAAACTTCTAGCGAAAAAGAATTTTAAAAAAAAAACATGTTGTTCTCACTAAAGGGAACTAAAAGTGGAAAACTTCCCCAAAACTCCTTCCAGAATTTGTTCTTTGCCTTTTCTATGAATATTCGCAGTGAAAAAGGGATGCAAGACAAGGGTTTTGCCATTGATCGATTCTTTTTAGGATGCGCCACACATGTTACTTCTCCTCACAATCATAGTGGCTTATTGAATACGATGCGCTCGGCGCAGTTTGTCGACGGGGGGGGGGGCATTTTGCTTTCCATAGATGTGTCGACCCATCTAGGCAGCCGTTTCTCGAGTTGACACGTTTTAGGATAGTGGCTAGACGATCTTGCTCCAGCTTCACAAGCGTTCACAAGTTTTACCAGAGTGAGATTTGTAAACCGGAACCAGGGAAGCAATTATAATACAAAATGCCCCCCCCGTCGATAAACAGCGCCTGATGCGTTCTAGACAACGACTTGCGGCTGCGATGTGTGGAATCAATTCTATGTTCTCATCCTCCCCAAAGAATCTTGAGCCAATTTACTGTCCTCATAGGGTAGAAGGCTTGGTTGGCCCGAGGGGGAGGAAAGGGAGATGCTTTGAAATATTCCTCTTCTGAACACGTAAAATGCAGCCATAACAAATATGGTATAGGTGCGGGTAGCTGTAGGGTAGTAATTTACTCCTTCACATCGATTTCTGGCTCGAAACGATGTATTCCTCACACTTCTATGATTTGCCTCTTCAGACGTCAAGATAACTAGCCTCTTAGCATCGCCGCAACTCGCATGTGTTGAGCTACAGCCGTGACCAGGCAGTCCGGCAAAAAGTTAGCTAGTGGACTCACCTACTGAAAAAATACGCATGTCGTTGATAGAGCCGTCGATCATCGTAACTCCTGAATTCCTCAGGAAATTCACCAACGTCTCCGTGAGTGCTACGATAAACGTCGCAAAGGCAATCACATTGCTGAACACGTACAGTACTGAAACACCTGTCGCTACGGCCGAGCTCGTATACGTCGATAACTGGAAACCATTACACATTACTTATCTCATTGCTAAAATTTTCCTTATTGAACTCTTCTCAATATAGACTCGAAAATACCAGCTGACCGTAGGAAAGAATCCGATTCGCTGATCGGTGGTCATCGCTGCCACACTTGTCGTGGTGAGAAAGGACAACAAAAATCCGAGAAAAATGAAGAATATCGTCATTCCTGAAACTGCATTATACATCGAGAGTTTCTCGAACTTTGGTCAGTTTTGCATGATTATTTAACAGATGAAGCTCGAAGTATCCGCTTATGGGAGCTCAACA